ATGTAAATAAACATTGGAAACCATAATAAACAATCAAAAAAATGTAAATAAACACTGGAAACCAAAATAAACAGACCAATGCTTGCAAACAAAGCAAAATATCAAAATTTTCGGAATTGCAAATCCAAGTTTTCGAAAATCTTTCAAAACGAAGTGCGTTTACACCAGAAAAATGTAAATAAACATTGGAAACCATAATAAACAATCAAAAAAATGTAAATAAACATTGGAAACCAAAATAAACAGACCAATGTTTGCAAACAAAGCGAAATTTCAAAGTTTTCGGTTATTCCGACTGCAAATTTTCGAAAATATTTGACAACAAAGTGTGTTTATACCAAAAAAATGTAAATAAACATTGAAACCACAATAAACAATCAAAAAAATGTAAATAAACACTGGAAACCAAAATAAACAGACCAATGTTTGCAAACAAAGCGAAATATCAAAATTTTCGGAATTGCAAGTCCAAATTTTCGAAAATTTTTCAAAATAAAGTGTGTTTACACCAAAAAAATGTAAATAAACATTGGAATCCAAAACAAACAGTCAAAAAAATGTAAATAAATATTGGAAACCAAAATAAACAGACGAATGTTTGCAAACAAAGCGAAATTTCACACTTTGGTGTAAACACACTTTATTCCGACAAATTTTCGAAAATTTGTAATCGGAATTCCGAAAACTTTGAAATTTCGCTTTGTTTGCAAATATTGGTCTGTTTATTTTGGTTTCCAATGTTTATTTATATTTTTTTGACTGTTTGTTTTGGTTTTCAATGTTTATTTACATTTTTTTGGTGTAAACACACTTTGTTTCGACTAATTTTCGAAAAGTTGCAAGTGGAATTTTGGAGAGAGTCGGGTAGTGTTATAGTTTTACCTCCACAGTAGTTCTACATCTTACGTTCTGGGAAAGCCCCGGGATTCTCCAGTGGATCTCGCGGCAGGACTCCCGCTGTCAATACCCAGGAGAGGGCTATCTAATATATATTTAAAATTCCTTTCCCTCAAGGTTCTGCCCTTCCGTTTTCCTGTACCTGAGCAGTGTAGTTCCTGCGATATGGCTTCTGGAACTGGACAAGGTCGACAGAAGGGTGAAAACGTTCGAGACGAACGTGAACATATCTGAGAATTTCGATTTAACCAACCTGGCTGCCGAAGATTTGAAACACCTGGAAAAAGCATTGGGTGTAGGTTCAACTATCGTACTAATTATATTATATACTTGAACGATGTTCACTTGAAAAGTGAATGTGATCATAAATCTTAAAACTTGAAATTTAATGTCATTCTATGCTTTTTAATCTATGATTCAGGTAAATATACATTTGCCTGATATAAAAATATCGACAGAGACTTGGGTAACTCTGATCGAGCAGTTCCTTATGTTAATTCTAATCATCGGGAGATGGATGTTACCGAAGGGAGATCTAACCAGAGACCAGCTGAGCCAGTTGTTGCTGGTTTATATTGGCACAGCCGCAGACATCATTGAATTCTTCGATTCCTTCAAAGAGGACCGCATAGCTCGTGAACCTGTCTTAGTTTACTTGACTCTGGGTATTTGGGCGTGGTCGTTGATGCAGTTTACCGTCGTGCTGACGGCCACCAAATCCCGGAAGTCTAGGCTGTCTTCCGGAAGCGCTGTGAAAAGAAGGGTGCACAGTGAAACTAGTTGTTGCAGCATCGACGTGTGGGGGATCGCTTTGAACATGCTTCTACAGGTGTGTCTTATAAAATACATATTTTTCATGAAATCATTTGAAAAGTAAGTATTTTACAATTATTAATTGTACAGACATACGTACGCTTCATTTGTAAGCTACATGGAACGATGAACTGATAAAGATAAGCTGACTGATTGTCTTTAGTATCATTTCGACATTTCTGAACATTTTATATTTTTGAAAAATATTACAGGACGGGCCATTTCTCGCGTTTAGACTGATCTTGATCGTTCACTATCGTATAGTGAGTTACATGAACATCTTCTTCACGTGTAAGAACACTCTTGTGATATTGCTGCAACTTTACCGACTGTACGTAGTGCAGACTGAGAATCGTAGCAAGGTAAAGAAGAAATCTGCAGTATCGAACATCAGTATCATATCGAGGGAAGATATCTACAATGATGTGAGAAGTAAAAAGTTCTCTGAAGAGAGGAAACGGAAGAGAAGAGAGAGAGACGTCGAGGCCAATTATTCGGAAAGTGAAGAAACGACGGAAGAAGCAGATAAATTTGATTCCTCTCCGAGAAATATTGGTCATTCTAGAAGGTACAGAACACACAGACAAGTTCAACAATTGGAAACAATTCAATCAAATTTATCTGTGAGTCATCCGTGAATGTTTAAATTTTACAGAAAAACACGCCAGGACACTGGATACTCCACATCCAGCTCCAGGAATTCTGACAAACGTCGAAAGTCGCGGAGGAACGACAGCAGGAGGAAATCCTCGCGGCGAGAAAGCTTGAAAATTGAAATTTCCAGCGATGAAGAAAAGTATAGAAGAAAGGATGGTAGAAAATCAGCCGTGAAAGGTAGCAAGAAATCTTCAGAAAGTATTAAGATGAAATCGAGGAACGACGATTCTAGTAAAAGCTCCGGCAAGAGTCGAAAGTACAAAGAGGACAATGAGGAAAAAGAAGAATCAACGACGGAAGAGATGGTCGATAAAACAGTTAGTGAAGAAAGCGAATCAGAATCGGAGAAAAAAAGGTGTGTGTGTGAATACATTAATAAGTTATCAAATATACAATAAAGAAAAGACTAATTTTGGTCTATTTTTAACAATTTTAAATTCTAATGAAACATATAAGATTGATTATCAAACGAAAATTATATCACGCACTCAACGCTTATTGCATTTGAGAATTATTGAAATATAATTATGAATGATTTATTTGTTAATAAAATTGAACACTTGTTTATATAAATAGGAACTTGCAATGTGAAAATTATTTTTTTCATAGTAACAAATAACAGAGATTGGTCATATTATATTTTTTATATCTAATTCAAGTGTATTTAAGTATATGTGTATTAAGCCTTAGTACTAAGTTTACTAAGATAATTTTCGCACTGTAGAATCTTATCTTTTCGCTTCTTTTTACAGGTACGTTCATAGAAAAAGACGACAGAACAGAGACTGACAACGATGCCTCGGCATAATCGCCCTCTTGTTCGTCTACTCCGCAATCCTTGTTATTTGCATGCTTTTTATACACGCTGGGATCAACGATGGTATTATATTAACTACAAGAGCGAAGACAACAATTCTTACTTAATTAACCTTTTGCGCTTTAACCATTTTATATAACAAATTCAAAATTTCATCCCGTACAATGTTTTCAATTCTTTCAGAAATGAATTTTCTATATATTTTGATTACTCAACGTGCATTTACTAAAATGTATTTCGGCACAAGTGCCAATTAGTATTTTTTAAATACTATTAAATGCAAAATCAAAGTGCAAAGGATTGAGAATAATAATAATAATAAAAAGAAAATTGATTTCATTCAAAATTCCAGCATCGTAGTTACGTACGTAGTTCCAATATGTTCTAGAATAATATATAATTAAGATATTATTTTAATGTGTAAACGCGATTAATAAACAAAGTTAAACAACGCAGCTTTACACACGTAAATATCATGCGAATGAAAATATTTGTACTATTTCCACAGCTTTTGTCAATCAAAGTGTTAATAAAGGAACACTTCCTCTCGTCGTGTTAAATGTTATGTTCACATTCTAATCTATTTTCACTCTGATCCTAAAATACTGATCTCAATGACACGCTAGAAAAGCAAGGCAAGAATGCATCTGTGTACGCGTAAAATTCAATGGAAGGGACGATTAAAATCTGGACTTTCCATCGTAAAATCAAAGCACCCAACCTTGCAATATCTTCCCACTTGGCTCGCTACTTTACTCATACAGTTAGGTCATTGCAGGCCTCTAACCATTGCATGCTTTGTGCGGCGTCTAAATTGTCGATATAATTAGCCAAATCATCTTGGTGAGTTCCAGTGGCTGCACAATACAACATAGCGGTATTCTCCAGCAATTCTTGCAGAGATTGCGTCTTCGCAATAGCCGAATTTACGCTGCTATTTGTCGTCGAGGTGTTCTCTTTCCTCTCCAAGTTCGTTGCGCTCGACTGCCCCTTTTTAACTGTCTCTGACTGCTTAGAGACCTCAGTTCTTTTATCGGAGGACGTTTCGCCAGTCGTTGTCTGGTCAATTTTAAACAACGACTGTTTATTCGGAATCCCCAAAGAGTGTCGCTTGTCGCTCGAGTTACTTTTCAAATCCTTCAGCTTCTCCACGGTCAAATGAAAGCGCCGCCACTTCCCCTGGGGAAATGTTATGTTCACATTTCTGTCCGCGGAACTCTCTTGAACGTTCTGCCTGATCTTCTCCTCTTTCTTATAGAGTTCTTTCACTCTGATGTTCTTCATGTTGGCCCAGGAAGTTTGACTTTCCGTGGCTGACTTTTTCAGATTGTTTTTATTGTACTCGGAAAGTATCTTCGCTATTTCCGAAGTGTCGCCGGTGCACAAGCTCTTGCTCAAACCGCCAGACATGGTTTTCAGGTTCAATTTCTTGTTAGTCGTCTCGTAATATGTTCTTCTCTCGACAGAATTCGGCTCTTTCCCCGACTGAGCCTTGCTCTGTTGCATATTATCGTGCAGATACTTCGTCATCGTGAACTCCATTTTACTCCCTCGCTTTCCAGGAGGCTGCTTCATCTCCTCGTTAGACACGTTCTTATATATAGAGGTCACTTCGCCTAGAGTTTCCTCGCTGGTCGACGACTCTTCCATTTTATTCGCGTTTGCCTGGCTGCTAGTGCCTGGTTTCAAAAGCTGCGCGTCCTTCGCCTCCAACGGGTTCACTAGAATAAAAGGACTCTTGGAAGATCGCACCACTTCCTGGATCTTCATGTGCCCGCCTTGAAATGTTTTTAGATTAGTAAACGCAATGGACTTTTGCGAGTTGGCTATGTAAATCTTTTGAGCAGGGAACAATCGTGTTTTTGGAACCTGAGCGAGGCCTTTCACGTTCTGCGGGAACAACGTGACTCCGCAATTGTCCAGGAACTTGTTCTCCTCCGCCGGTTTCTGTAAATTCTCTTTAAAACTGGCGGAAGCGTTAGTTTTGGAGTTCGGCTCCGAAACGTTCGCCGCTTCCTTGCCAGCGTCGGGTAAGCTTTTACTCTCGTCCAACGCGTTCATTTTCCCCTCTACGTTCGCCTTGTAACTTGGCGCCATGATCTGGGAGCAGTAGCCAAGGACACAGTGGAAACTTTCGTGCATGCAGGTCTCGAAGGACTTATCCCTCTCGGAGGGCTCCGTGGACCTCGGAGCACCATTTTTGAAAGCGGCAGAGCTTCTGCTCGACTTGACTTTCTTCCTACATTTCTTTTCAGCGGACGACGGCAAGCAGTCGCAGTGCGGATCCACGGACACCACCTCGATCTCCGGTCTGTCGATTATTTCTCGGTAGGAGAGCCCGTCCAAGCTTGTAAAGTAACGTCCTAAGTACTCCGCAGCCAAACCAACCTGAAACACAGTTCAATGAGTAACAAGTTCAATTGGAAGAAACATTTATAGTTTTCATATTTATTCTTTTTATATCTATTTACAGTTTTAACATCAGAAATGTAGTTTTGTAAGTATTTCCTTACTTCAATAAAATAGCCTACCTGTGGATGGAACACCGGTCGTTCGTGCATGCCATGAACAGGCCACTCTTTCCACTCTGTTTCATCTCTTATGGTGGGCGCCTGATAAGTCGCCCCCACGTTGTACATTTTGCGAGTAACAGACCTCGTGTTCATGTAAGGCATTGTGGAGGCTTTCCCACGTCTGATCGGCTCAGAATTGAAGAGCATCTCCTTGCGTTTTGCAGAGAGCAACCGTTGACGCGGACGGAAGGAATCTTTACCTGAGTCTCTCTTCGTGACGCGCGTCGGGTTCCTCCTGATTTCCGCCGCTCCACGGCTGCAATCGGATTAGAATTTCATAGTTCAAGATTCTGTTTTTAAGAAAAATTCCGGAAGAGGAGAGAAGCCCGCAATTTTAAAAATTAAAAATTAAAAATTAAAAATTAAAAACTTGGGGGAACAGTAGATTTCGATAAAATTCGAAAATTCGAGAATTTCAAAATTTAAGATCTTCTTTTTAGGGTTCGAAGATTTTGGAAATTTAGAAGATCGCAAATTTCTGAAAATTCAGGGACTTTGCACGGTTCCAAAAACCGAGAGAGTTCGAAAGCTCCGAAGTTCCCGAAATTTCGCAATTTCCAAACGTAGAACGTCCTCGCGGCAAATTTCGGATTTCGAAGTTTTGAAAACTCGTCAACCAGGAAGATGAGAAATTTTGACCAGACGAATATTTTGTCCACTATGAATGTAAAAGTCAAATTTCTAAAAATAAAAAAAAAAAAAAAAAGAAAGAAGTCAGAATGCTCGGTCTCGCGATTTTACCGATCGTTTTGCGACAACGTACTTCTTCCTCGCGGTGCGGTGAACCCTTTTCACTTTGGTTACCCCGCTGCTGGAGGACGACACCCCGCTACTCGTCTCGGTGGAGTCTCTCACGTAGTCACTGTCGTCCTTGTACCTCTTCTCCCGTTTGATGACGATCGTTCCAGCCGGAAGCTTCTGAAGGGCCTCGACGTCCTCGGCCGCGTTGTCCTGCTCGGTCGATAACGAGTCCAGATCGAGCTGCTTCCGTAGTGCCATTTTGCATCGTTCGTCGCTCAGCTCGAACACTCGCCGGCCCTCGTCCGGCCTTTCGTCTTGCCGTTGCATCGGGGACCGATCGTTTTCTTTTCCTATCACGCTCACGTCGTCATCGGTAAGTTATTTTCGTTTCGAATCGTCCATCCAATTTCTCGCTTACGAAACTTTACTTACTCGATCGTTCACGTTGGTTGTACACTTAACATCTTTCGTGCAGTTTGTCGAATATTTTCGTCACCTTGAAAATGGACAACATATAATTCAGTACGCGCCTGTACGCGATTGAATGCTTCTTGGAGTTCTGGAAATTTATTCTCGCACATAAAGAGGAGCCACAGGTTGATCGATAAAGTTGATAAATTGTTTCAGTGTACGTTGTTGAATTTCTTGAAAGGAGACTCACTTGCCGGTTAAGAGGAATTGTTTTTAGAATTTCTGTTTAGAACGAGAACGATTGCGAGGAAATTATAACCGATGGCATATATCGGACACGTGTCACGTTTCTTTTGTTTCTCGCAACCCAATAATGGGAACAATAGTGTCATCTAGGTGATGGAGATTCGACAATACTGACGTGAAATAGTACGTTATCCTGGAATCGGATGAATTACCCAAACTTGTATACTCGTGAACTTTGAATATTCTCTCAAGTGTCGATTCCCAATCTGGCCACTGAATTTTCAAACAGTGAACACGAACTTCATTTTCGCAAGTGTAGGTAACATTGATGATCTTAACAATTTATTTATCTTTATAGAATGCTGACAATACTTTTTCGTACATGTTTCGTGTCAGATTCTACTATATCGATTTAGACAGGTTTTTCACCGCAGCGCTACTAGCAATAGGAATTAAAATCAGAAAATATGAATAATGTTGTTACATTCGCGATTATTGCGAAAATTATTTATTGAATTAAACGCGAACGCTTTCTTATTTGCATAACTAGTCCTAAGAGACGATCAACTTAATTTTTGACTATAATGTAATTATTTTCTACATAAATTAGCATTATATGTCACAGACTTACAAATTTAGTACATATCAGAGTTATAAGTTAAAAGCTAGTAGTTTCAGTTTGCAAAAAATATAGAAATTAGTATTTGCTGTTGCTGTATATAATTAATGGCTATAAAACAATTTAAAAAACTTAAAAACTGTAAAATTATTGATTGCTGTAATAGAAAAACTATTGTTTGAAAGTATCACAGACAAAGACAGTGATTCTTCTTCAGTCAATGATGGCAACTAACAAGATCAATATTATTAATGATAAAAATAATATTATTGAAACTACTAAATAAATATCAAAATAAACACTATCGTTTTGTAATTAACACAACATTGCGTCTTAACACTGTTCAAAATAAAAAAGTATTTAGAAATTAATAAATCTTCATCTTTCAATGGAATTGTCTCAATCAGAATGAAACGAAATACAGTAGCTCATAACGTGGATACATCATGCTACGTACAAAGGATATCGACGAGGAAATGAATCATAAGGTTGCCATAGCTCTTCTGCACAAGCGCTGATTTTTATTCCAAACGAAATACTAAAAACTAGAATATATAGCTATTCCCCTCTTACATGTACACGCGTGTACGTATAATATATAGTATTATTTATACGTAGAAATACGAAATGTAATATCGTCGCTTCGTATTGCACGAATCCAAACTAGAACTGAAATGTATACATATATTCATGTATAACGTCCTTTGGCACTCTCTATTCGACTGGGATTTATTTACAAAGAAAAGGAGACAACTCGTCTGCGCGATCATCCTCGGTGAGATTTTCTTCTCTCTACTTCAATTCATATTGTCCGTGGTTAGGGCGAGCGTGGTTAGGACCGATCGTCGATTAGGATTCACGCCTAGGTTCTCCCAATTTATCCACGATAAACGTGCGGTCAGATCTACTAATAAAAATTATATTTAGTTATATACACATATAACAAATATTCTATTATACTGTACGACACTATACTATGCAAATATTCAGACATTTTCTATCTTTAATATCGCATCCAACGAGATTAAAGTAAATGATCCAACGATCTTGATAATGGCATGCTGCGCTGCTTTTTCAATTTCATTTCAATTGATAATTCTCACCGCTGGTGTTCCACTCGGCACGTTCGCCGTTTATTTCTCCTCTAAGGCACCTCTCGACGTAAGTCAGTGGATCGAGCCTTGCAGCCAGCACCTCTCGAAGTAGCGCGATGTACGCTATAGCCAGGCGCAGAGTATCAATCTTGGACAGCCTCTTCTCGTACGGGAACGTTGGTACATGAACTCGGAGCTCGTCGAAAGCCGAGTTGATGCTGCTAAAAATCGCAATCACACTGACAACCTGTTTCACAATCTGTTCGCTAAATGCTGGTTACACAATGATTCGAAGGGGGAATTTTAACATCTAAGAACAATATAAATATTAACGTGACAATATGTAAGACGTCGAAGCAAATTAGAAATTTGAATACACTTGATTAGGATCAATTGGAAGGTGTTTCCCGAGGGACTGGAAAGGCTTCATTGGGAATAATTTCTCACCTCAGCATGCGTTTTCTCTCGCGTATGTTGGCCGCGTGTCGTTGAATTCTGTAGGGGCTGCCGTTTGGATAGTAGCCCTCTTCCACGCCGTTTATCTCTGTATCGTTGTGATCTAAACCAAAAGCAACGCAATGTTTGAACGTAGAAGAGAATCTAAACTCTATTTTAATTGAAATGATTATTGAGCTTGAGCTCTTTTCATTTTCAATCGATTACACGAAATACAAATCTTTCGTTTGCATCAGTTTTTTTTTTTTTTTTTTAATTTACCAGGCGTAGAGACCGGCATGTGGTAATGGATAGGCGAATGAGCGTGTGAGGTGTGCGCGACGTGTTGAGTGGATCTACCCGCGTAAACGCAGGAAGGAAGCTCGGCAAGGTCCTCCTCGCTGATGTCGCTGCTCGGGCCCACGTAATACTGACTGCTGTAACCAATATTATTAATTATTACCAATTCACCGAGAAACTCAGAGCTTAATCCCAATCGTGAATTGAACCTCTTCCTTTTGACACTATCACTTTTCCCATTTGTAACAGACGATCATTTTAATTTTAAGAAAAACTTCGAAACTTCAACAGGACCTTTTCGCGATATTCAGACTTTTCAAGAGATGTTTGAAGCTTTGAAATTCCGGAATTCTTTCAACGACTTTGAAATGTTGGAGATCTCAAAAGAAATAAAAGACTTCAGACATCACAAGATTGAAATTTGTCCAAAATAAAGTGGCAGGGGAATAACAACTTCAAAGTCGAATCTTTAGAAAAAAGGCCAAAGAATTTAATTTCTATTCTTTCTTTCTTTACAGCAGCTTTACCTAGTGCAAGCCACGGTAGAATCAGCCGCCCTGGAAGTGGTACCGACCCGATGTCGCATCCTCTGTCCCCTGTCCTCGTACTCGTAACTCGAATGGCTCGCCATGCTCCTTATCCTTACCAGCTCATTAATCACTTCACTGGTGAAGGTAACCCCTCGATCAGTCAGTCTTCAAAAAAAAAAAAAAGGAAATCTTCTCGAAGGTCTCTCCTCCACTTCTAAATCCCAGGTATTCACTTCTAAAACCAAATTTACGTTTCGATTAACCTCGTGTCTGTCCCTTTTCGCAGTTAACTGTTAACAGTTATTGTTAAACTAATTTCAGGTGTCCCAACGGCGGGGAGGGTTCACTCGCGAGAACCAGCGAGAATCCACGAAACAGCAAAGGGTTCCGACTATCCGTCCGTGTCCCTGGGGAGGCTGCTTTATATACCGAAGTCCGAGGAAGCGCCAAGGGGATGATCGATGCAACCCCTGGGCGGAGAATCCAGCCAATCAGAGACCGTGCAAAGTGAAAGCTCTCCTCAGACCACTTGGCCATTGGTGGATCGTTGAACGAGGCAAAGTGCAGGCTCGCAGAGCGCTGCGGTTTATTGTTACTGCCTCGGTACGAAATTTTATTTCTATCGTTTTCCATCCTCCCACCTCCCGGCCAGATTCACCTCCTCGCCTCGTCCTCTTCACCTTCCGCAATTTGGCGGCAGTCCGGCCAACCGGTGAGACACGCGGCAGAAACTCTTCTTGAAACCTAAAAATTTTACCACGAAAATTATTCGGCAAGCTTTTTATGGATGACGAGGTTTGTATAATTTTTAAGAGGGGGGTAAAGGAGATCACTACACGCGAATACTTGGCAGGTAGAGCTTAATTTCGAGAATTTTTGGTGACTAATGATTTTTTGGGAATTTTGGTGAGTTCCTTTGGTGCTTGAAAAGTTGTTGGAAATTATTTCTGGGCCTAACTGCAACTGCGAACATGAGCTGCAGATTTTCATGCAAATTCACCACTTTTTATGATCTATTTATTAAAAGCGTGGAATCTAACTAAAAAATTGACTTATCTACGCAGAAGGTAGACACTATACTCTTCACATTTTGCATACATTGTGTGCACTCTATACATTTAATCTTCAAAATATCTGCTTTCTTTACTTCATGTTTCTTTACTTTATGCTTTTCTCTTATTTATACATATTTATATGTATAAAGTAATATATTAATATGTATTATAGTTATATATAATTTTACACATATAATTATACATATAATATATATATATATATATATATTTATTAAAATATATGTTTATAGACTAGACGTTAAGGTATTAAATTTGTCATGAGCTAATTCTGAAACTATTAACATTACACCAGTACCAATAATGCCAATCATTAGCAACCACGCCGATCTTAATAGTCAAATTTTACTTGCCTACAAAGAGGAACTGACTTAACTTCAAAATGGTTGATAATGGAATTCACGTTATCTATATCAAACGGTGCATAAGCAAAGAAAGCTGACAGCCTGAGAAAGAACGTAGAGATTGCTGTAGGAAGCAGTCACAGGAATACACACGGGCCTTCCCCTTTATCAGCGATTGAGCTCTCCAGTGCGAAAGAGTGAGAGACGCTGTGAGAGGCAGACAGAGCGCTGAATGGGCCAATATTCAAATGAGACGTGTTTAACGGACGCACAATGAGAAACGCGGCGGCGTCGGTGGCGATGCAATTATGCAAGGTGTTAATACGATCACAATGCTGGTCCGCTAGGGTACTACCTAGCAAACTGGCAAAGTTTTGTCGCTGTCTAGCCTGAAAAACATATATATCACCGTCTCGCCTTCGGTTGGCTCCAAAGTGAATTACTATTGTCGGCCGTCGATGTACCATAGGTCTCGCAGCATAATTGGGATTATACTGGGAAATGTATGCGAACCGAAGTTGTCCAATGGGAGAATCAGAGTTCCTTTCACCTTCAATCTGCGTATTTCGATGTCATCCGTCGGGTTGAAGGTCGAATTTCGTGGTAGGTCTCTTTGGAATGGAGTGATCTCGGGAGTTTTTTTTTTTGGAGAAGGAAGTTTCTGAAAAAGAAAATATCGACGATGAGATATGGTATTAAAGACACAGTGAAGAGCATGGTCGTATTAATGACGATGAAAAATTATCGATAATTTCTGATACATTTATACTGATATATTAAAAGAAAGAAAAAGTCACAGAAAGATCTTTTTTTCCTTCTTTTACTTAGTTGTATTAGTTTGTAAATTATCGACAATTTTTCATTGCCATTGGTATAATCATTCTCTTCGTTATGTGTATTCCTAATTTGTATTTATAAAACAAATACAAATTAGGAAAAGCAAAAATCTCTTGCAAGTTATTGATAGTAATGATACAATTCGTTCCAACTATGTTTATTAAAAAAGATTGATTCCCCGTTGACAATTGAAACGGTACAAACAAACGAATGACAACAATGAGAGTTCATGTTTAAAGGACCGGTTTCAATTTGCGAAACGAGATCAAAAAATGTTGATAGCTGCACGGGAACTCGAGCTGAGCCAAGTCTCTCCCTTGCGGTACGTGACAAATTGAGATAAATAATCGTTTGTGGGGATACAATGCGCTCTTGAAATTCGTCATGGTGATACTCGAAACGGCACGCTCCGCAACATTTGCGAATTGATACTCGTAAAACCGATACTTGAGTCGCATCTGGTTCGCATCCTACTCGCAGAAACGGATACTCCAAGATTTTATCAAAACATATTTTTATTACACATTTTTCCTTCTATTTAATATCTAGATATATCAACTGTATACTAAACACACTGTAAACTGTGTACTAAATATATATATTTCCCTTCTATTTAATATCTAGATATACTATATATACTAGTATATATAGTATATATACTATATATACTATATATACTATCCAGTGACTCGTAGACAGTAATCCACGAATTTTTCATTAATTTTTCAATTCCTGAATTTAGTTTCTTTCCATCGATTTTTCGGTTATTCGTTAATTTTTCCCAATTTTCTTAGCTGAAAACAGCAATCTAGGTTGCACGATTAATCACTGAAAACGATCCACTTATATCGCTGGAGGAGTCCTCCACCTCCTCTCCTCTCCAGACCGAAGAAATGCCGGGGGATCGCGGATATCCGAGCAAACATTTAATTCGCGATTACATTATTTCCAAGGGGGCGATGGGTGCCCCTGTCAGCGCCAGTTTGACCAAAGTACGCATACAACCACCATCGGACAACGGGGTACCATACCAACCCCTCGATAATAGAGATTTCACGCCGCAGGCCCCTACTTCGGTTCTCACAGTAGGGGTCTCGTCACTCTGCCGGATATTAATTGTCCAGTCGTTTCTTATTCCAGTCTCGCAGTGAACATGGTCAATTGATCCACCGACGGAGGTGCAGAGCGAAACGCGTGCCTCTAAGTATCTGTTTATAGTCTCTGGGGATCAATTTGTTTGCTAAATTATTTATTGGTCAAATATGCTCTGGCCTGGTGAAAACGGCGCCGTCCGAGCCACCAGTCGATTTGAACTGCGGTTTGGGAAAGGTAAACTTGAGAATTCTCGCTGGTTTTCGCTGTTGTTCCAAGTCTTCTTTGTTCAATTGGATCCTTTTTTTTTTCAGATGCAGCCGGAGTGATGGAGAGTTTTGATCATTCGGGTCACTGTGAACGCATTGGAGTGATGTAGTTCCAGTGATTTGTATGTTCTTTTGTATGTTCCAGTGATTTGTATGTTCTTGGCTACAAAGAATTCAAACATCAAATTTTAACATTGTTAATTGTTTGACCAGTTGTGCATTTAAATGTAATTTTTAGGAGATGAGGAATTTGGAATTCAGAAGTATATGTACCTGAAGAGGCACTTTGTTGTTTGGAAAACACTTTTTTGAGAAAATTTGAACCCCTTTTTGATAGGAAAATCTGTCCAGGATTGGGGGATAGTGTTTGAGGGAGGATTTCATATCCGACGGATGCTGTTCCAACTTCAATTATTCTGGAGACGAAGTTAAATTTATAGTAACATCATTCCTCGCATTAATATAAATTTTTATTACTTTGTTTTAGTATAAATTAACAGAAGAATATTGTAGTTACACAATATTCTACTTTCTAGTTTAATCATTTCCTGCATTTCCAACTTTTTCCCCATTTTTCTCTATATAGTTCTCTTCACAATTATTGTTCAAAATCTTCAGATGCATTCAAACTAAAAACACACGATAATTAAAAATAAGATACTGTTAGACATTTCTTCAAAAATATCAGTAACAGAATAAGTTATAGAGAACATAAAGGAATAACAAAACAGTTAAAAATTCATATTTAATACAGTCTGCAAGCTATTAAAATGTAACAAAATTATATTTAACTTTGACTTTTGTAAGAAAAACAAGCTATCGCTAAACTCTTGCAAACTGATGTTTGTAGATATTTACAAACTAACTAAAAAATCATGTTTAACCTTGACTCGTTAAAAAAAGAACAGATTATCGTTGATATAGCTTCCATAATGTAACTGGACTTGCGCGTTTCGTTGTCTCTTCTTTTTTCTTTTTTTTTTCCTTTTTTTTTTTTTTTTTTTACAGCACTTTTACCATAAGCTCGTGCATTGAATATTAACGCGCCATACGGTGTACGAGGGCCGACTTCTCCGATTAAAAGTTCGCGGAGCACTGCCACAGGGCTTTCACGCGCGATCGTAAAAATGAACTTCAGCGGTTACGACGATAACAAGAAATCGTTACACCCGGCGAGATATGCTGTGAATTATTATATTATGTACGCGCGTAACGTTCCAGTGTTTTTCGCCCAGTAAAGCACACTACGTTACATGCGGTAACTTTGCAGATGAAGACCAGTCATAAAATGATTTTTACGATTGCTTTCAAACAGTCAAATATCAAATGCGCCAAATTCGAGTGTGTTTCATCAAATTTTTCTGATCAACTTATTATTAAATTTGACACAGCATTGTGGAAATTCTGACGACTTGTCAGTGATAATTTTCACGAATAGACATAGTCGAGTATATTATATATACAAATGTTTAACAATAAATTTTTAGCAAAGACGAAGGAACTAAGAAATTTGTCAAAATTTGTAAATAGAAGTTTGAATAATGACACTATGAATTAAGTGTTAAATTGAGCACATTGCATCAAATTTTTGGCAATAAATTCGGCGAAGATAAAGAAACTAAGGGATTCGATTAAATTTATTATAATTATTATTATATTAATAATTATTATATATTGTAATTACTATATATAGTATATACTGTATAATACTATATATATATATATATATATATATATATATATATATATATATATATGAATTTATTAAATAACTGCTTGTGGATCTGAAATTGAAACATAATTCAATTTAGTCAGTAATATTCTACAATTGTTGTCAAAGAACCTTTTTCCCAATTTTATAATTTCTGCGAGTGACCCTAAATTGAAGAATTTCTAAATTTGGACCCTAGATTTAATTCATTCGATATAAGTTAAATTCATAATACAAGTTTATAACATATTT